TATCGCACAGCTGATCGGACCTTTTAACTTTATCTGAATGTCTATCGGAGAGAGAGCCAAATGGAATAAGGACTTCAGAATGAATTTTGTAATTGATAATATTTTCATTTTACCTAATACTTCACCTCGAGAAGGGGTCAAGTTTCGCACAAGTTTTGATCATCTGCTCTCGGTGATCCTTCAAATTTTCCATCGAATCCGACAGAGCCAAAATTACAAAGGAACGATCATTAGTTTTATTTATGTATATTTCACTGCCTTATAAAATTTAGAAAGCTCGGTTTAAAGCATGAATACAAAGGAAAACTAAGGAAGACTAAAAATCTGTTGATTAGCCTCGTTATTTTGAACTTTTAATGGAGTTATAATGTAACATTCGAACCATCAGTAAATTTGTCCTGATTCTCATTATTTCCAGCGTATATAATCAATCATTCCAGGCACCATAAAACCTGCGACTAGTGTGAAAATCCAAATTTTGTTAGATTTATTTTTCTAAATATTATTATATTGTCATACATATATCTCATTTTCTTCCTTGAGGTCTGTCTACGTCTGATTCATCCTGACGTATCTACCTTTGCTTGGGATTCGACTGCACAAACTTCCGAGCCTGAATTGCCTGACATCGAATTAGCTACCGAACAGTCACCAGTTACAAACAGCTGTTTAGCTGTTCGTCAGTTTCAACCTCCTCCGGTCCGTATTCAAGCTTTGATGGTTCTTCGAAACATGGTGCCTAATTATGCGGCCTTTCTTAAACCCAGCTTGCCGTTGATCAAGAAGACATTGTTATTTTGTCTTCAAGTGAGTTGTTGCATGCGTTGCGTTGCGTTGCATTGCGTGCTGTTTCATACCGTTTCATGTCGCACGTATGACATTGTCCGTGTCCTGTTTCACCTTTTCAGTATCGAGCATCTAAAATAATGTAGTTCTTATTTTAAATTTCCAGACTGACCAAGCTAGACACAACTTTCAGGCATTTAGAACGCCTATAAAGTGACAGAAACTGTCTCCACGTTCAAAGAATGTATTTCTTGGTTTTACTTCAATCAGTTGGACGCTGATGCCAATTATCAGTTGATTTGTCCATCCAATTTTTTTACTTAGATTCAACCGTTTCTCACCACAAACTTCAGATCATTACACTTATATTGAATCCACACATCACGAGGCGATTCCTTGAATGTCAACACATCCCATTCAATGATAATCTAATGGCATTCTGATGTCCTTCGTACACATCCGTTGCGATAATAACAGTGCTCTTGTGCTTGCCTGTCTTGGTGCTCAATCCTTTCAAGCCGTCTTAAACGTAAACTGAGCGTTGAACTTTGACTGGATGCATCACATCAATGACTGCTGTCACATTTCAATTCCATTTCTTCTCTTCGATTTATTTCTGGGTTTGACTTTAGCTACCTACATTCGTCCCTGTTTGTAACTTAGCAGTAACGTGACTGCAAGGACCTTAACCCTCAGTCTGAAGAATTTCAATATACTGCCCGTAGAGAAACCTGTTTAATCTGATCAGTTGTCTGATGGTGGAGAGTGGTTATTGTATTCGTACTCTGTCCACGATGCCTAGGATTCTGCATGCACTATAATCGATGTTTGCACACCAACGATGACATAAATGATTGAAGTGACTGTACAGTGGGATCCAGATTTTTTGTAGATTGTGTGGTTTTATATCAGATAAAATCTGAGCCATCTGGTGATGGTATCATTTTCTTACGGGTTAATGCAAATACTTTTCGATTATTTTCGCTCTATACCTAAACTTTTTATACTGTTTGAATGTATTTTTACGATGTTTCGATACCCGCTTATCAAAAAGAACCATCATCACCCTGTACACATAACCAGAGCGCACTAGGCTAGGAGACACTACGGTCAACAAGACAAGATAGTCTACTAATGTGGCGATCTATGCCGGTCACAAGTGTCTTTTGTTCCTTCGGATTTGTAAGCTGAGATAGATAAGAGCACAATATTGGACGATTCCCTTTTTGCCTATCAATCAATCCTTCTCATCTTGCTTACCCCCCCCCCTCCTTGAGTATTAAAGGCCGCGGTTGAGCAATTATTAGCAGTGATTTTCTTCTTCCAGGAACCCTAATCACAAATTTATGTGCTTGTGAGACATTCACCCACAAAATTCTTCGCATCGCCAAACCCCCTGGACATCGATTTGTCCATCTACCGTTTCCAGTCCGCAACTAGGTCCGATTCACCGGTCACCTTAGTGAAATATCTACTGAAATTTTATGTTCATGTAGGAAGCAACGAACGTACATTGGTGTAATAATGAGGACTCATGATGAACGACGTCCGAATTTCGACAGGTGTATATCTATTTCGCTTCTGTCATCAAGCTTATTTTAGTTATACTTGTTCATTTTGCATTCATATCCGGATTTATCAAGTTTCCCATCTCTCCCTCTTTCCCCGTTCCTGTTCTACACTAATCCGCATGCCTCGGATTTCCCATTTCAACTGTTAGGATTACAACAAAAACAAACTTCTGTGGTCACCGGCCCTGAAATTCCTCCTCGTGTTTCTTCCTTTTCTACAAAGCGATCCGACTGAGCTCAAAGATATTTCATCGGACACTGTTTGCCGAGCAGAATGCTTTGCTTGGTGGCGCGATTTTATCCCACCCATAGTGCATATTATACGAGTAAGTTCGATTTATCGGTCCGCCAATTAATAAATGACTCAGCAATTTATTTCCCGATCGAGAGGTTACTCCTTCAAACTATTAGATGGTAGTTCGCTGGATTATTTCGATAATGTTTGATAACCGGACATCGTCGTGTACGTGCTAACCGATCAAGGCCTTTGAACCCCTCCCCGCTGGCGGTAGTAGTGCTCTAATCCCAAAAGGCGGTGCTGGTCGAGGACATTCCGTTATTGAGGATTACAGATGGGAGGCTAGTAATTTCGTATGCAATACATAAAAATCTAATCAGAAACGTACCATCGCAATTCTTTCGGACAGAGGGTAATGTATAGAGCAGTCAGTAGTTATTCTTCCAAACATCTCACTTGGCCCCTGATGGTCTTGTTATATTTTTGATCATCGAAAGTTACCTACTACTTACAAGTGAGTAGTATCTCACAACAGTAGTAGTAGTAGTGAGACCCCTGGGCAGTCCAACAGTGTACTCCTCAGTTCAGTTCTTACTACCATTAACCATGCACTTTCAGGCGGGATTTAAAATTTAGATAGTTCTATTATGGACTTCGTCGTTGTGTGGATTCGATTTTCTAGACAAAATCGAGTGTGTAATTCTGATTTAAATACCGTCACTAAATGTCATAACCATTAAGACAGGTGCATGTTCTTCCAAGCGCTTTGGCCTTTATTGTCAAGATAGATGAACTTTAACACGTACTGTTAGGATTAGCATCACGCGAAATGAATAGCAAAGAACAACTAGGGAACAGTGATCCCGTTTCTGAATCCTGTGTTCTAATGGTAGATCTATTGAACGGGAAACGAGGACATTCGACGTGTGCACTCATGTTCTACTGTGTCAGTTCACATTGGCACAATTGTAGCTTTAGTTTGACTGGCTCTCTCGATAGGATAAGTCTATTTCGTGAATACTAATAAGTTTGAAGGTGTTATCTTACAAGAGATACCTCAGCGTCATCTGGCTTTTGTTCGAGAATGTGCTTCTATCTTTTGCAGGATCAATTTAGAACTTCAGGGAGCAATATATGGATGCATGATTGCCGCTAGCGCCCTCGGAGCACATTCATCACACGATAAATGGGAATACAAACTAATGATGGTTCATTCATCCTTTATCACCGTTAGATCCTTGAAGCGTAAGATCTATTAATTAAAAGCTGTCTTCACATACCGAATGTCATCTCATCGAGAGTTATAAACCTCGTTTACGTTCGACCATTATTGACCGCTTGTCGGTTTTCCCGCTGTGAATTCTGTTGCATTTAGTAGCCTTTCAGGGTCAAAGGTAAGAAGTAGGTAGGTAAGGAAGACGAAAGCGGTAGAGGGCGGCCCAAGGGACACAACCTTCTGTCATCGCAGTGGCACTATTCCTACCAGATAACCCGTAAGATCGCTCACTTGTTTGAGAACCATTGTGCTCGTATCTTGCTCGGTTTTTTTGTTTTCCATTTGTGTTTTGTTCGATTGTTTGGAGCGAAGCGAATGATGGCACGGTGATCCCATTAATTAGGCAGTCCCATTCGTTTTGCTCGTCCCTTCGGTAAAGTACTCTTTTTGATGATTTCTGATTGACCTCAAATTACTTTGATGTTAACGTTGCTCTTTCGATTTGCAGTATATCCCTTTGTTGTCGATCACCTGATTCCATCGCGTTTACACCAAATTTATTTTTCTGTACTAAATTGATCTGCGTATTTGGTACTTGTTTTTTTGGCCTGAACGCGACTTCATGCTTATAAACTTTTCAATTCCTATCGTATCGCAGTCATTGGTGCGTACCATTACTTTCACTCATCCGCGTAAACGTATACTCCTATTACTTGGCGCTTCATTTGATTTGTTCTATCAGCCAACCACTCGGTAACCTTGTGCTGATGTAATGGGATTCATTCCCGTACGTAACACTTAGCAGACATCATGTGCCAAGACATTATCAATAACCAATCCCTTTGGATACCTTGTTGAATATATATTTTGGACCCCGGCTTTGTGGAACATTTGTAAACCTATTGGTGTTTGAATGATCATGTAAAATGCCCCAATGTTTAATATACGAACATTATTGTGTCCGATTTCTGAAAATTTTACTTCTTCCTTTTGCTGCTACGATTTCGGCAATTTAAAAAATTTGAGAGTTCCTCATACGTTAATATTGATACTGGTTAAATGATCTATACCACCGTCGCTGATGTGCATCGCTGGATACGATGTTAAGTTTGAACATCCCCTCTTTGGTGGTAGACAGCATTACTGTCATTTGGTTCATGTTTGGATTTGTCCGGTCAGGTCCTAGAGCATTGTGTGTCATAGATTTAATTCTTGAAACAGCCCTATCCTCATGCAGGAATAGCGGTATCGATTTACTTCCGGGTGGCAGACTGTCTGATCTAGAGTATGCAAACGACATTTTGCTACTAAGTGACGATCCAGGTAAGTTGCAAGCTTTTCTGGATAGTTTGAGTGCTAGTGTAGCCATGTTCGGTATG